TCCAGCACTCCATCCAGCAGTCAGGCAACTCCAAGACTTGGGCAGAGAAGTCAGCACCAAGTGAAGGAGTGTAGGTACAGACAGCTCCTGCTAGGGTTGACAGCAGATACAACACTGCGAGTTTCTATCCTGCTGGCACAGGTGGTAAGAGGGAACCTGGGGGGGGGGTCGTGGGCCTGCCCTGCCCTTTGTGCCCTCGTGATAGAGCATGAGGAGGCGGGGGGCATGTGTGCAGCCTCATGGGCGCTGCTAAAGAATCTGGCTTTGTGCACTTGAGGCACATGTGCACCAACACTGGGATCCACATGGACACATACTCAGAGAAGCAACCCTCCCCCCTTCCTTCCCTCAGCAGGGGCAGGATAGGAAGCCTCCTCTTCCACTCAGCCCAGCACATGCCCAGCCTTTGTCAGGCACCAAGAACTGCTGATATAAAGGAAGTACAGACAAGGGGAAACATTCAGCTTGGCCTTAGCTGCATCCTCTGAGGAGTGGGGAGGGAGGGAGAAGGAATCCAGCCAGCCCAGTGTGCGAACTGCCTGCGGCCTGGCCCCAGCTCAGGCTGCTTTACCACATAAACCTTTTCTCCAACGGCTTGTCCTCGGCCTCTAACAAACCCTTCAGGCAATTCTGGTTTGCCCAGCAAGTCCCTCTCCTGGGGAAGGGCTGCACCTCCTAACATGCATGCTTCAAAGGGCACTGGGACACTGAATACTGAAATCATTCACCCACCCAACATTTAATGGCCTAAGTCAAGTCAGGACCGAGAGCAGGATCCAAAGGACAGGTCTTTAGGGGTCTGCCAAGCAGTGAAGCACCTGGTGCAGCAACCAGCCTGCCCATGGGGGGCAGCACTACCCTCCTCTCACGCCCTGCACCCAACACCCCAGGGAGCACTTGCCCACCACAGGAAGCCCTCAGCTGGGACAGCAGCCAGCCGATTTCCTGAGGTGGAATTCACCTCTCTCATTGGGCAGCAAGGTGTGTGCATGGGCCAGCCACACAATCCCCATGGAAGCCTGAGCTCCATTCTTCTGGCACCTGCCATATCCTGCAGTGCCAAGGATACCCTACAGGAGGATCTGGGATGACCTTGTAAACTGGAGTAATAGGAATAGGATGAAATTTAATAGTGAGAAGTGTAAGGTCATGCATTTAGGGATTAATAACAAGAATTTTAGTTATAAGCTAGGGACGCATCAACTAGAAGTAACGGAGGAGGAAAAGGACCTTGGAGTATTGGTTGATCATAGGATGACTATGAGCTGCCAATGTGATATGGCTGTGAAAAAAAGCTAATGTCATCTTGGGATGCATCAGGAGAGGTATTTCCAGTAGGGATAAGGAGGTTTTAGTACCATTATATAAGGCACTGGTGAGACCTCACCTGGAATACTGTGTGCAGTTCTGGTCTCCCATGTTTAAGAAGGATGAATTCAAACTGGAACAGGTACAGAGAAGGGCTACTAGGATGATCCGAGGAATGGAAAACTTGTCTTATGAAAGGAGACTCAGGGAGCTTGGTTGTTTAGCCTAACTAAAAGAAGGTTGAGGGAGATATGATTGCTCTCTATAAATATATCAGAGGGATAAATACCAGAGAGGGAGAGGAATTATTTAAACTCAGTACCAATGTGGACACAAGAACAAATGGATATAAACTGGCCACTAGGAAATTTAGATTAGAAATTAGACGAAGGTTTCTAACCATCAGAGGAGTGAAGTTTTGGAATAGCCTTCCGAGGGAAGTAGTGGGGGCAAAAGATCTATCTTGCTTTAAGATTAAACTCGATAAGTTTATGGAGGAGATGGTATGATGGGATAACATGGTTTTGGTAATTAAATATTCATGGTAAATAGGCCCAATGGCCTGTGATGGGTTTTTAGATGGGGTAAGATCCAAGTTACCCGGGAAAGAATTTTCTGTAGTATCTGGCTGATGAATCTTGCATATGCTCAGGGTTTAGCTGATGCCATATTTGGGGTCGGGAAGGAATTTTTCCAGGGCAGATTGGAAGGTGGAGGTTTTTCTTCCTCTGTAGCATGGGGCACGGGTCACTTGCTGGGGATTTCTGTCCTTGAGGTCTTCAAACTACAATTTGAGGACTTCAATAGACAGATATAGATGTGGGTCTTTTTTAGGAGTGGTGGGTGAAATTCTGTGGTGCGTTGTGCAGGAGGTCGGACTAGATGATCATAATGGTCCCTTCTGGCCTAAATATCTATGAATCTATGAATCTATGACTCTCAAACCCACAGAGCATGCGGCCTGACAGCTCGCTTCCAGACCACGTGATCTGGCACACTGCAGGATCTTTATGGGGAAGAAAACCAGGGATGCTGCTAATCTCAGCCTCCTGCCACTGCCCCATCCAGGCTCAGGCTTAACAAGAAGGCCTTTTCGGGGTCAGGGACCCACCAGCAGGAGCAAAAGGTGGTTGTGTGAGATCAGAGAGGCCCTGCAATGGAAGACAGTAAATTAATTTAGACTGAACTTCTGTTCTTCCCTCTCCACAGCAGACCATGCCTTTGACTTTGCCTTAGGCAGGCAGAATGGATTTGAGATAGAGATCTAATGTAATCATCTCATGAAACTTTCAAATTGTTCCGTCAAGTTTTGCATTCACCAATGCACCTGCAGCGCTTGTAAAATAAGCTTCTATCCGCAGCCCTGCTCTGCCTTGTGCATTGTTCAGCATGATTCTTTAGAGCCAGCTCAGCTGCAAATGAAACCCACACACCTCCTGGGTGTGGTGTTCTGTCCCATCTATTGGCACTGAGACTTCTTAGAGAGAGATTAATGCGTTTGCTTTACAGCCTTAGCTAACAGCCACATGGTTTTTAGCTCATGTGGCAGAGGCTCATGCATTTAGCTCCAGAGGCCCCAGGTCCGATCCTGCCCGCCGACAACCGGGGTCTGTTGGCGTTACAAGTGGGGGCTCATCCGGGATTTCAACTGGGAAGTCTCTGAAGCTTGGGACGTGCTTCCTCAGCTAAGGGAAGTATGTAACCCACACACCTTCTGGGTGTGGTGTTCTGTCCCCTCTAGTGGCACTGAGACCGGTTAGAGAGAGATTGATGAGTCTGCTTTGCAGCCTTAGCTAAGGACCACATGGCTTTTGGCTCCTGCATTTCGCTCTAGAGGTCCCAGGTTCGATCCCACTCACCGACAACCAGGGTCTGCTGGTGTTACACGAACAGACGTGAGTGTGCTGTACCACATCTTACAACCCAGGCCACAGGCACTGCAGAACACTAGGCGAATGGAGATTTTTCTACAAAGGGACAGCATCTCCTTAGACACAAACTACCTGGACTCTAAATAAGGGGCTAAACGAGTTTTTAAAGGGTACAAATGACATGTTAATCATTAAATGGGTAAGGAAATAACAGAACATGGACTATATGGAACATCCTATGCAGTTCAGAATGGCGGAGCTCTCCGAGCCACGTCATCGCAGGTCAGATTGCGTTTAGCTGCTGCCCAACAAGTGACGACAGTAGCAGTGGCAGTCTCCTCTCAGAAGAAAGGGTAGTGCAGGGGTTAAAATAAAGGACTGGGGGTCAGGAGATGTGGGATCCACTCCTAGTGCTGCACAGACTTCCTGGGACATTGGATCAGTCGCTGCCCTTCTCTGTGCCCTGGTTTGCTCAGCCGGGGAGAGTGATCTGCAACCACAGGCCGCGGTCGTTATCCAGCACCACACAGGACGAGGCATCCTTATCACTGGAGCCCTCTGACCCCTCTCTCCAGTCTCTGGGTGCTGTTCTGTGACATCCTGGGGCTCCCTCCACAACACTGCCAGAATATTCTGCTCTCCGTGAGCGCCTGTGACCTCCCCTCCATGACAGGAGCAAGGGCAGAGCATAGCCCGGGGTGGGGGACGCACATGTGCAGAGACTGTCGCCAAACAACCACCCTGTTTACGGCTGCACAGCAACATCCTGGGCCACTTCCTCTTCGACCCTTTGCGCTGGAGCCTGTTTCTGAATGTTTTGGGGTTTAGCAGAATCCACCCCCAACCCCCCCCGAACACCTCTGGCTGCCAAGGCAATTCAGAGAGACGGCGTCTAAGCGGCGCCTACATCTGGTACAGCTTAACTGGAAGGGTCTGATTCTTTCTGGAATTTGAGAACTTCAGTACCCAGTGTTTGTACAACTGGGAAATAAATGGAATACGGATTCATTTGCCTTTTACGCTTGCCAAAGGTTTTTAAATGTACATGGAAACTCTTACTGTTTCTGCACAGGCGACCTCAGAAACTAACCCGCACCAATCCCCCGATAGCAAGCAGGCCGTGTTCACATCAAGGCAAAGGGGTGAGAATTCTGGGCACCCCGGGCTCCTGTACAATGTGCATGGCACATGGCCTCACCTGATTTCAGGCCATTTGTTCTAACTCACTCCCTATGGGCCTCACCAATACGGTTGCCAACCCTCCAGTATTGTCCTGGAGTCTCCAGGAATTAAAGACTAACCTTTAGTCAAATATTATATCATGTGATGAAACCTCCCAGAATACTTCCAACCAAAATTGGCAACCCTACTCACCAGGAAGCTGCCATCACCCACGAGGTTCTGGGCACTATGTTCTCAGGCCTGGTTTCGTCGCACGGACTTGCCCAGAACAGAGAACTGGCTCTTTTTATGGTTGCAAATGAGGGGGCTGCATCTGACACATCAACACATATAACTATCCACAACATGAAGTACACGGTATTCAGCAAAACACCAGCACTGCCATGGCCTGGCAGCCTCCTCTGTGCTGAAAGGCAGGACACCAGAACTCTGGTCCCTTGGTCTCCAAGACAACTGCTGAAGGACCCTTCTGTCCACTGGTGCTGACTGTAAGGATGTGCCCACCACACTGGGCCTGGAGCTTAGAAGAATTAGACCAGAGGAAAACTATGGGGTCTTCACCCTATTCCGCAGTGGAAATGTCCTTTCACGGGCACATACCTTTTCCCCTACTCAAAGCTCAGCGCTTCATTTCCTCACCTTGTCGAAGAATTCGTACAGCCTGACTGTCTCTCCAATCCGACTCCTGGTGTCATCCAGTCGGGCGCAGAACTCCTCCAGCTGATTTCTATATGTTTGCAGCTTGAGTCCATAAACATGCAAGTCTGCAGAGGAAAAATCTTCCCACTTGTCCAGCTTCTTTAACACTTCCTGTCCCCTTCTACAATATTTCTGAAAGAAAATTTCAGTTGTGGATCAGTGTGCCGCACTGGAGAGCTAGAAACAGAGACCATGGGAGACTTCCAAAGCCCCAGGGAACCATTAGGACTAGCTAAACCTAGCATGGCACAGAGATGCAAAATAGTAGCTCTCTCAGGCAATCATTCTTTATAAGCACCCACATTAAATTGTGAAGCTCAGATTAGATGCAGTGAATCTGTAGCTTTAGCATAAAAGGCCTTCATGACAACAGACTACTTAGGGTCAAGGAAATTGAAGTGTTTCAAGAATCTAAAGTGAGTTCAAAAAAATCCATGACACATTCTGGAAATTTCTGTAAACATTCCCATCCCATGCACAGACATGTAACTTATCCACTGAGCTGTACGTACAATAACTGTCTCGTAGGTGGCTTGAAAGCGGTGAGCTTTTCAGAGGAATTTGCCTGAGGAGGCAGCTGTGGCTTGGAGAACCAGGACCAGGAAGGTGTTTTATTCATGTAAGCAGGTCTGAATGAGCTCTCTCCTGATACTAGTGATGAACTGGAGTGGGGAGGGGGGAAAGACTTCAGGAGAAGACAGTTTTGAAAAGACAAACCTACTCCGTCTAGGGCAGGGGTTCTCAAACTGGGGGTTGGGACCCCTCAGGGGGTCACGAGGTGATTACATGGGGGATTGTGAGCTGTCAGCCTCCACCCCAAACCCAGTTTTGCCTCCAGCATTTATAATAGTGTTAAATATATAAAAAAGTGTTTTTAATTTATAAGGGGGGTCGCACACATAGGCTTGCGTCACCAGTACAAAAATTTGAGAACCACTGGCCCAGGGGCACAGCAGATGGAGCTGCTTTGCCAAAGTATCAGTTTTGGGTTACAAGTCACTTCAGTTCTGAATGCAGGAGTAATGAAAAGTTGTTATCTGGATTGTAAGAGTAAAAGGCAGCAGAACTGTACTGACCATGCCCTAACTGAGGGAGTCCCCTGAGCTGAAAAGACAGTTACTCACCTTTGTAATTGTTGTTCTTTGAGATGTGTTGCTCATATCCATTCCAATTAGGTATGTGCACGCACTGCGTGCACGGCCGTCGGAGAATTTTTACCCTAGCAACACCCGGTGAGTCGGCTGTGGAGCCCCCTGGAGTGGCACCTTCATGGCTCTAGATATATACCCCAGCTGACCCAGTGCCCCCTCAGTTCCTTCTTGCCAGCTACTCCGACAGAGGGGAAGGAGGGCGGGTTTGGAATGGATATGAGCAACACATCTCGAAGAACAACAGTTACAAAGGTGAGTAACTGTCTTTTCTTCTTTGAGTGCTTGCTCATATCGATTCCAATTAGGTGACTCCCAAACCTTACCTAGGTGGTGGGGTCGGAGTGAAGTACCGTGGATTGTAGGACTGCTCTACCAAACACTGCATTGTCTCTGGCCTGCCGAACGACGGCATAATGGGAGGCAAACATATGTACTGAAGACCAAGTAGCGGCTCTGCAGATCTCCTGGATTGGCACCTGGGCCAGGAAAGCCGCTGCCGAGGCCTGAGCCCTCGTGGAGTGAGCAGTGAGAGGAGGGGTCGGGACCCCGGCCAGATCATAGCAAGCACGAATACAGGACATAATCCAAGAAGAGATCCGCTGGGAGGAGACCGGGAGGCCCTTCACCCGGTCTGCCACCGTGACAAAGAGCTGCGTTGTTTTCCGGAATGGCTTCGTACATTCAGTGTAGAAGGCAAGAGCCCTACGAACATCAAGGGAGTGTAGCCGCTGTTCCTGATGACTGGTGTGCGGTTTTGGGTAAAAAAACAGGAGGAAGATGTCCTGGTTGATATGAAAGGTCGATACCACCATGGGAAGAAAGGCAGGGTGATGTCGCAGCTGCTCCTTATTCTTATGAAAGATCGTGTAAGGTGGTTCTGAGGTAAGAGCCTTGAGTTCAGAGACACGCCTCGCCAAAGTGATAGCAACGAGGAAAGCTGTTTTCCAAGAGCGGTATAGGAGGGAACAGGTGGCCAATGATTCAAACAGGGGCCCCATAAGTCTGGAAAGGACCAGGTTAAGTTCCCACATGGGGACTGGATGCCGTACCTGTGGGTAGAGATGGTCCAGGCCCTTGAGGAATCTACCGATCATGGGGCTGGTGAAGACAAATCAGGCATTCACTCCCAGGTGGAAAGCTGAGATGGCTGCCAGGTGAACTCTGACGGATGATATGGCCAGGCCCTGTTGTTTCAGGCTCAGGAGATAATTCAGAATGAGAGGCACGGACGCCTGGAGGGGGGCCGTGCTGCAGTAAGTGCATCAGCATGAGAATCGCTTCCATTTAGCCATATATGTGGGCCGAGTGGAAGGTTTCCTGCTGCCCAACAGGACCTGCTGCACCAAATAAAAACAGAGGCGTTCTGAATGGCTCGGCCATGCAGCATCCACACCATGAGGTGGAGGGACCGAAGGTCGGGGTGACAAGGTGGCCATGATCTTGAGTGATCAGGTCTGGAAAAAGGGGCAGCGGGATTGGGGCGTCCACTAAGATCTCCAACAGTGTGGTGTACCAATATTGCCTGGGCCACGCCGGGGCGACCAGAATCAGCCGTGTTCTGTCCCTGCGCACCTTGAACAGGACCTTGTGTACCAGGGGAAATGGCGGGAAGGCGTAAAACAATCAGCTCATCCACGGGAGTAGGAAGGCGTCTGTGAGAGAGCTGGGGAGCGGCCTTGGAGGCAACAGAAAGCTGGGCATTTCCAATTGCTGGGGGAGGCAAACAGGTCGACCTGGGGAAACCCCCACCTTAGAAAGATGGGGAGGATGACATCCGGATGGAGCAACCACTCGTGGGATTGGGAGGACCTGCTGAGGTGGTCCGCCAGCGTGTTCTGGACCCCTGGGAGAGAAGACGCCACCAGGTAAATAGAGTGGGCTATGCAGAACTCCCACAGTCGAATGGCCTCCTGACAAAGGGGGGCGGAATGAGCGCCCCTCGTTTGTTGATGTAGAACATGGCTGTGGTGTTGTCTGTGAGGACTGCTACACAACAACCATGCAGCCGCTCCTGAAAGGCTTGACAAGCCAGATGTACTGTCATCAGCTCCTGTACGTTAATATGGAGAGAGAGATCGGACGGGGCCCATAGACCCTGTATCTGGATGTCCCTGAGTTGGGCGCACCATCCCAGGGCTGACACGTCCGTAACGAGGGACAAGGAGGGCTGAGGGGTGTGGAAGGGGACTCCTTCGCATACTACCTCGGGATCTAGCCACCATTGGAGGGAGGACAGGACACTCTCCGAGACGGTGACCACCAGGCTCAGGCTGTCTCAACCTGGTCAATAGACCGATGCCAACCAGGCCTGAAGCGGGTCGAGCCGTAGTCTGGCATGCCTAGTCACGTATATGCAGGAAGCCATGTGACCTAGGAGACTCAGGCACGATCTCGCCATTGAGGTTGGGAAGCTTTGAAGGCTCCTTATGAGGCTCGACAAAGCTTGGAAACGAGCGTCTGAAAGGAGGGCTCAAGCACGCATGGAGTCCAGGACAGCTCCGATGAACCCTATTCTTTGGGTTGGTTCTAGCGTTGACTTCGCCACTTGGAGAAGGAGGTCTAACCAACAAAATATGTCTGTGACCAATTGAAGGTGAGACTGTACTTTTTCTTTGGTGTGCCCTCGGATGAGCCAGTCATTGAGATACAGGTATACCTGTATCCGTCGTCAACGAAGGAAGGATGCCACTATCGCCATACATTGGTGAACACCTTGGGGGGCCGTAGAGAGGCCAAATGGAAGGACCATGAACTAATAATGTTCGCGGTTGACCACAAAGTGGAGGAAGCATCTGTGTACCGGATAGATCGTGATGTGGAAATACACGTCCTTCATGTCGAGGGCGGCGTACCAGTCTCCAGGAAAGGTATAATGGTGCCCAATGAGACCATGCGGAACTTCAATTTTACCATGAATTTGTTGAGTCCACGCAAGTCCAGGATAGGCCGAAGCCCACCCTTTGCATTGGGGATTAGGAAGTAACAGAAGTAAAACCCCCTGCCCCTTAGCTCCCTTGGAACCTCCTCAATCGCCCCCATGGTGAGGAGCATCTGAACCTCTTGAATAAGGAGTTACTTGTGAGAGGGGTCCCTGAAGAGGGATGGAGAGGGAGGGTGGGGAGAAAGAAAATTGGAGAGAGTATCCCCTTTCCACTGTGTGAAGAACCCAACAGTCCATGGTTATGAGGGACCAGGCACGGTGGAAACGGGATAAATGATTCAAGAAGGGTGGGGTAGGATCCTGAATGAGGTCCGGTACACCGTCCTGGGGCGTCCCTTCAAAAGTTTTGTTTGGAACCTACCAAGAGCTTAGAAGGACCCTGGGACTGGCCAGATTGGTGGTTGAAGGGTTTCCTCCTGCCACTGCGCCCCCATCTCCTATAGAAGTCCTGCCTCAGCCGAGGAGGAGGATAGGAGCGTTGAGGCTGCGGTTTAAATGGCTTCTGCTGGGTAGCCAGTGTGTGCATCCCCAGCGAACACATTATGGCCCTTGAGTCTTTGAGGCTTTGAAGCCTCGAGTCAGTCTTGTCCGAAAACAGGCCCTCTCCATCAAAGGGGAGATCCTGTAGTGTTTGCTGAAGCTCTGGTGGTAAGCCAGAAGCCTGCAGCTAAGAGATGCACCTCATTGTGATTCCTGAAGAGAGGGTCCGAGCGGCAGAGTCTGCAGTGTCCAATGAGGCTTGCAATGAGGTCCACGTGACCGTTTTGCCCTCTTCTACCAGAGCCCCAAACTCTTCTCTGGACTCCAGAGGAACCAGCTCCTTGAACTTCATCATGGAGTTCCAAGAATTAAAATTGTATCGGCTCAGGAGAGCCTGCTGGTTCGTGATCTGGAGCTGGAGCCCCCCCTGAGGAGTAGACCTTGCGCCCTAATAAATTGAGGAGCTTGGCCTCTTTTGACTTGGGCACTGGGGCTTGTTGACCATGTCGCTCCTTCTCATTCACTGAGGCCACCACCAGTGAACGGGGCTGTGGGTGAGTGTACAAATAGTCATATCCCTTGGAGGGGACGAAATATTTCCGCTCCACCCCCTTAGCAGTCAGGGGAATAGAAGTGGGTGTTTGCCAGATTGTTCTGGCCACGGTTTGAATGGACCGGATAAGTGGTAAGGCCACCCTGGATGGACCCTCTGCGTGATGGAGAGTGGTGCCGGGACTGCAAACGGTGCCGGGACTGTGAGCAGCGTCGGGAGTGGGAACGGTGCCGAGAGCGGGATCAGGGCCGTGGCTCAACCAACGGTGCCAGCAGGTGAATAAGAGCCGGTTTGCCTCCGGATGGTGCCAATCGGACAAGTGCTGGTGCCTTGGTCAGCTGAGGGGATGCCAACACTGTCATGGCAATCAGATCCCTTCCAGCCACAAAGGTATCTGGAGTAGATGGCAATTGGACCTCAACCGCGCTGCGAGTCGGGGAGTCCAGTCGCACCAGACTCAACGGCTCCGCTCTCGGTGCCAGAGTCAACAGAGCTGAGGCCGTCACCTGTGTCCCTGGGCGCTCTGCTGTGGGACGTGGCTCTGCTGGCAGATCCGGAAAGGGTGGTGCCTGCTGAGTTGGGCCAGCCTTTTCTGGTTTCCAGTGCCGCTTCTGGCCAGGCGAGTGAGATCGGTGCCAGACCGATGGGGTCGATTGCAGTGCCAGGGAACGTCGGTGCCGCAGTTCTCTATCAGAGTCCAACTGCGGTGCCGTTCCTGCCGCTGAAGCCAGGGCACTGCGCACCGAAGCACTTGGTGTCGGGTCTTGTCGCGCCGCTGGAGGCTGAGGACTAAGAGACGCCTCCATAAGGAGCTGTCTTAAGCTAAAGTCCCGCTTCTTCTTAGTCCGGGGACGAAAGCTCTTGCAAACCCTGCACTTCTCCGCTTGGTGAGATTCCCCCAGACACTTCAGGCAAGAGTTGTGGGGGTCGCCCGTTGGCATGGGCTTGGAGCAGAAGCCGCAGGGCTTAAAGCCCGGAGCCTTGGACATGAGCCCAAACAAAGTACAGGGAGGAGGGGAAACTCCTTCCACTCCACTAATACAAACAACTATACAACTACAACTATAACTATTAAACACTATAACTAAACTTAACGAACTGTAGGAAGAACGCTAGGGAGAGTGGAGAGTAGCAAAGCCACGCTCCACAGTTCCAACAACCGTCACGGGCGGTAAGAAGGAACTGAGGGGGCGCTGGGTCGGCTGGGGTATATATCCAGCACCATGAAGGCGCCACTTCAGGGGGCTCCACAGCCGACACATTGGGTGTTGCTACGGTAAAAATTCTCCAATGGCCGTGCACGCAGCGAGCGCACACACCTAATTGGAATCGATATGAGCAAGCGCTCGAAGAATAACCTCACTTGCTAAGCAAGGGGTGGGATGCCAAATCCTGGTGAAAGTCAGATGGGGCGGAGGCAGGTGTTCCTTCCTGGTGGCGTGAACTCTGCTTAACAAGTCTGGGACACCATTTGACCCACCCCTCTCCAGTATTTAAAGACAGAGCTGATCAGGCTCACTGAGTGGCATATTGAAGGGACATTCGTTCGTTGGACTTTCACTCCGAAAGGTAGGACACTGAGGCAAACGACACTGCCCAACGTACTGTTGGGTGGGTGGTTACTTAAGGCGTACATGCTTTTGAATCGGTGTTGCAGTATTTTCCCAAATTAATGCCAAGTTTCCTCTCACTTCAATAAAAAATTTTCTTTTGTCATACACAGAGCCCGTGCTTGCGAACAGGGAAGTACTGCCTCTAAGAGGCACCTGGGGTGGTGTTTAGTTTTCTCAGATTACTGGGTGGGGGCTCGAGCCAGTTCTGTTTTGTAATGTTAAGAAGACCCCTGGATATTGAACCCAGCCCTGGTTGCTGCTGAAACCACTTAGCAGAAGGGTTACAAACATATGGACAGCATGGAAAAAGTCCTGGAGAGAGTGATGGGCAAAGGAAAGGAATGGGGAGGTGGTGGGGGAGGCAGACACTGCTGGCAGTTTGGAGAGCGGACAGGGGAATGTGACAGGAGACATCATGAAGGCCCAGGTGGAGTTGTTCAGAGACACAGATGTGAATTACACAGTCTCCCTCTGAAACACATGTTCAATAAAATTCTCAGCCCACATAGGCAGAGACTAAGGCGGACTCCACAGCATTCCAGGAGGAATAGCACAATACCGTCAGTCTCTCTCGGAGCTACACACAAATGTGTTGGTGTCTCCAGTCTTGTGTGTATGGATCACTCTGTTCAAGTCTAGGTCAGAGGTTGTTTAAGGCTGATCTATGGGATGTGCCCCCAGGGTGGTGTCAGCATACACTATGGAATCAGCCTGGCAGGCTACATTCGCCTGCCAGTTCCCCCACTATTGTGGTAGGCAGGGGTGTTCTTTCCCACCACGAACTCTTCTGCCCCTCTTTCCAATCGGAGAACACTTACACTGGCAACAAGATCAAATTCCCTGAACTGCTTTTGAGCTTGAAGCAGGAGCTCCAAAGAATCGTCCAGGTCAATCATTTCCTTTAGCTGCTTCCTGCCAACATTCTCGATCCAAGTGCTGACCTAGGAGAAAAAGGGGAAAGCAGTTGTATTATTTGTCAGTCAGTGCCGCTGTGCAAGGCAGGCCTTTGTGTGGAAAGAGCAGGGAGCTTCTCTGGTGAGGTTGGTCATTTAATCACTGGAAAGAATGCATGAGCATTTCTCCCCACATCTCAGCATTTCAGTGTATGCCTCCTGCTTTACGCATGGACCTTTCCCACATTAGGTCCCTGGATAATTGCTAAGCTCTGCTGTTGCTCACAGGCCTTAGGCATAAGCAAAGTGAGCGGCTGCTTGAGGTCTGTGCTTCTGGGCAAACAGCAGTCAGATGAAACCTCTGCAACTCCTGGGCTGGTCCTATCTTCCTACTGCTCCTGCTGCCAACGCTCCGTTTGCTGCCACATCTGCTCCCCACTCCAATTTCTGTCTGGCAGAAGGATGAGGAGCAATGGCTTTACCCTGATCACAGCAACGGAGTCACTCTTATGTGGTTATCTGGGGCCCTATGACATCTGCTCTCTGTTTCCTGAACACAGCGCTCAATATAATCTCCAGTGTCCATGTTATTCCTAGCAGCTCCTCATCACAGGCCAATCACTGGCACTGGGCTCATCTCCTCAGGGATAGTCAGACTTTGTCAGCTGGGTAAGGATGTTGGTCTTCATCTGCCTTTCCTACAAACACACTCCCTAATCCCATTCCCATCCTGGGGGCTGAGATGGCTCTGTTCACTCTGAAGGGATGGAATGAGCCCCCATCAGCCTCCTCTGACGTGGGAGAAGGGCTCCTCAGAGGTACCTCCAGATTTAGATTTAGTACAAATGTGGAACTGAATCTGCAGTGCATCATGGGAAACACCATGTGTTTGTGCTCCTGGCCAGGAGGTCTCTGCACTCTAAGGGACTAATCTGACTTCCATCAGTGTATATCAGAGGGAACCTCGCTGACATTAATGGGGTTACACTGGATCAAACTGGTATGAAGGTCACATGTTTGGGGCTGGACTTTCAGAGGTGCTGAGCATACAGAGTACCCGCTGACTTGGTGCTCAGCACATCTGAAAATCTGGTCCCAAGTCTGTATGTCTCATCAGTACAGGAAAGCCAGGTCACTGAATGCTATCAGGTGGGGTAGTGCCCGTCTCAACCTGGGCAGAAACTACTAAATGCCAAGTTGCTTATGGGGTGTTTTTGTGATGTGAAGGCATGTTACTTTACTACCACCTGGTTCAAACCCTGATGTAAACTGGGATTAAATACCTTTGTGGGACATGCAATTAAGGCTAATCACTACAACCAATGACAAACTGGCCTTACCTCCCTAAAACATTCTTCAGAAGTCTCGAATTCCATCACTAGCTCCAGCTCCTGGATGCGTTTGTTTGACAACATCACCAGTAGGTGGACGCCCTCATCCACTCGGTTATAAAGCGTGCTAGCAGCATCCAGAGCATCTCTGAAAGGGAACACAAGTCCAGTCAGTGTGTTTCACATTCTTATTAATATTTCATACCTATACATGACTTTGCTATTGGCAGCCCCTGAGGGTATGTCTACCCAGCAAAGAAAAACCCGTGGCTGGCCTGTGCCAGACGACTTGGGCTCATGCAGGTCTGTGTAGACTTCTGGGCTCGGGCTGGAGACCGGACTCTAGGACACTGCAAGGTGGGAGGGTCCCAGCTACTGGGTTTTCTTGGCTGTGTAGCCATACCCTCAGCCACCCTGCATCCAGAAGTTTTTTGTCATGCAAGAACAAAGTACATCACAATATATATTAGAGAACAGCGGGGCTCTTCCACTGTTTCAGCTTACACTACGAGCATTCCAATACCCATTTAGATTTTGTACACATGTGGAACTGAATCCAATGCCTTACTGAAATCCAGGTAAGTTATATCTATTGCATTTTTTTGTCTAAAAAATCAGTTATCTTCTGAAAGAAAGAGATCAGGTTGGTCTGGCACAATCTATCTTTTGTGAAACCATGTGTTTTACCCCAGTTTCCATTTACCTCTATACCCTTAACTACTTTCTCTTTCAAAATTTGTTCTAAAACCTTGCATACAACTGAGGTCAAACTAACAGGCTAGATCACCTTTTTTCTTTTCTTAAAAACAGGTACTGTACTAACAACCTTTCAGCCACAGGGTATGGCCCCTGAGTTTACAGATTCATTAAAAATCCTTGCTATTGGATTTGCAATTTCATGTGCCAATTCCATTAATATTCCTGGATGAAGATTATCCAGGTCTTCTGGATTTAGTCCCATTAAGCTGTTCGAGTTTGACTTTAACCTCAGATGTAGTAATTTCTATTTCCATATACTCATTTCCATTCGCTACCCTGCCACTATCCCTAAGATCCTCATTACCCTTATTAAAACTTGAGGCAAAGTATTCATTTATGTGTTGGGCCATGCCTAGATTATCTGTAATCTTCATCCCATTCTTAGTGCTTAGCAGTTCCACTTCTTCTTTCTTTGTTTTCTTTTTATTTATATGGCTATAGAACCTTTAACTACTGGTTTTAATTTCCTTTCCAAGGTTCAACTGTGCTTGGCTTTTGGCAGTTCTCACTTTTTCCCTACACTTTCTGACCTCCAAGATGTAGCTTTCTTTACTGATCCATCCCATCTTCCATTCCTTGTCGGCTTTCTGCTTTCTCTTAATAACCCGTTTGAGATGCTTGCTCATCCAACATGCTCTGCAAGCCTTCCCTAGCACTTTTTTCCCCCTTGCTTGGGATGCAGGCTTCAGAGAGCTTCTGCAACTTTGACTTAAAATCATTCCAAGCCTCCTTCAAATTCAGATCCTTGAGTTCTTCAGACTAGTCCACTTCCCTAACTAATTCCTCTTCTATAGGGCACTTAATCAGGGAAGCCCCATCCCTCAATCAGGGCTCTGCTGTAATTGATGCTGGAGCCTGAATATCAGTGAGTTCCTGTCTGCTTGCATCATCCTCACCAGAAACAGAGGTTCTGGAGCTCTGCTAGAGATTGTAGAGGACCCACATGTCAGGATCAAAGCTCAGTCTTCCCTAGCTACAGAGGTTCAGTTGGGAAACCCTTGTGTTTTAGCTAGTGTGTGGTGTAACTGAATTGCTCAGATTTATTTATTGAACTATAGTTATAAAGAAGGGAAAGACTTGGAGCAGAAAAGTGATATCTATCACCCCTTACAAGAAAATACTAGGGTACCCTTCAGTGACATGGCCAAGCACTGTCACTGTAGTCTGGTCTCACAAGGGATGCAAATGGTCATGTTGGGTCAGACGTACATGCCCTGGTACGGTTAGTACCTACCCATCTATTTTACAGATGCTTCAGAGCATTTTTTTAACTTGGTATTAGGGCTACAATTTTTATCCTACTAAGGCCAGGTGTCTTAGTCACATGAGTCCAAGTGCACCCCCGAGCACAGAGGAGTCATAAAACACTCTAAAAATGATCTCATTTTCTTTCCATAACGCTGCCACAATTTTAAGAGCAGCTATATCTCGGGATATTCCAGGGCTAAGAGTGAGCGTGCTGCCCCTGCTGGAAAACTGGGAGTCTCCACTCCCCAACAGGATAAAGCTTCCTCTTCCAGCTGTGTGGGGTTGCAAGTGATCAGACCTTGTTGCTGGTTCAGGACTGAATATTGCCCATCCTGGGGCTTGGGCAGGAGTAATTACTTTTTTTGGGCGGGGGGAGGGGGTGGCGAGAAGATTCCATATTTGGAGGAAAAGCAGGGACTGTTCTCTAAAACAAAACGAGTGGTGGCTATTTGAGCTGCTCGGTTGCTCAGAATGTTAGGGTAACCGGGAGTGGGAGGGGGGAGGAGGAATAATGGGCAGAGTGCATGATACATTTTATTCGTCACTTGTCCCAGAATCCATCCCGTGATATCAGCTCCACATTTCTAGTATGTCTACACTGACACTTTGTTAAACTTCCTGGATTAAAAAGGCACAACAAGGAAAAATTTTCAAAAACATCTAAGTGACTTAGGAGTCTAAGAAAGGGTGTAATCCTGATGTTTTAAGAGCAGGTACTCCATCCCCACCAGCGCCCCTGCTGCCATAGCCCTGGCTTGATAATGTGCCCCCCTCTCCTCCCTGTCACTGCATTTTCAAAAGAGATTTAGGGCCCAGATTTTGAAAAGGTTTCAGATACCTAAAGATACAGATACACACCTAGTGGTATTTTCAAGAGTGTTTGGGCTCCTGACTCCACTTGCCTATCTGCATCTTTAGCACAGAAATCTCTTTAAAAATCTGGCCCTTAACAGCCTAACTCTCAGGTTCCTAAGTGACTTAGGAGCTTTTGACATGGGCACCCCTAAGAAGTAAGTTATTAACATGGATCCTCAGCAGTCCAGGACCCAAGTACATCGCTACTATGAATTACAGCACTTTTGTCTATGAAATGCAGCTGAATGTTGGTACTTAATGGCAATCATCCTGCAATTTTCTATTTAGTACCTAGCTGGCATGAGGCTGCGTGATAGCGCTGAACAACTAACTCTGCACAGTACAGCTCCATAGAAAACTTAGAATCATAGAATATCAGGGTTGGAAGGGACCTCAGGAGGTCATCTAGTCCAACCCCCTGCTCAAAGCAGGACCAATCCCCAACTAAATCATCCCAGCCAGGGCCTTCTCAAGCCTGACCTTAAAAATATCTAAGGAAGGAGATTCCACGACCTCCCTAGGTAACGCATTCCAGTGTTTCACCACCCTCCTAGTGAAAAAGTTTTTCCTAATAGCCAATTTAAACCTCCCCCACTGCAACTTGAGACCATTACTCCTTGTTCTGTCATCTGCTACCACTGAGAACAGTCTAGAACCATCCTCTTTGGAACCCCCTTTCAGGTAGTTGAAAGCAGCTATCAAATTCCCCCTCATTCTTCTCTTCCGCAGACTAAACAATCCCAGCTCCCTCAGCCTCTCCTCATAAGTCATGTGTTCCAGTCCCCGAATCATTTTTGTTGCCCTCCGCAGGACTCTTTCCAATTTTTCCACATCCTTCTTGTAGTGTGGGGCCCAAAACTGGACACAGTACTCCAGATGAGGCCTCACCAATGTCAAATGAATAGAGGGGAACGATCACATCCCTCGATCTGCTGGCAATGCCCCTACTTATACATCCCAAAATGCCATTGGCCTTCTTGGCAACAAGGGCACACTGTTGACTCATATCCAGCTTCTCGTCCGCTGTAACCCCTAGGTTCTTTTCTGCAGAACTGCTGCCAAGCAATTCGGTCCCTAGTCTGTAGCGGTACATGGGATTCTTCTTCCGTCCTAAGTGCAGGACTCTGCACTTGTCCTTGTTGAACCTCATCAGATTTTTTTTGGCTCAATCCTCTAATTTCTCTAGGGCCCTCTATATCCTATCCCTACCCTCCAGCATATCTACCCCTCCTCCCAGTTTAGTGTCATCTGCAAACTTGCTGGGGGTGCAATCCACACCATCCTCCAGATCATTTATGAAGATATTGAACAAAACCGGCCCGAGGACCGACCCTTGGGGCACTCCACTTGATACCGGCTGCCAACTAGACACGGAGCCATTGATCACTACCCGTTGAGCCCGACAATCTAGCCAACTTTCTATCCACCTTATAGTCCATTCATCCAGCCCATACTTCTTTAACTCACTGGCAAGAATACTGTGGGAGACCGTGTCAAAAGCTTTGCTAAAGTCAAGGAACAACACGTCCACTGCTTTCCCCTCATCCACAAAGCAGCTATCTCGTCATAGAAGGCAATTAGATTAGTCAGGCATGACTTGCCCTTGGTGAATCCATGCTGACTGTTCCTGATCACTTTCCTCTCCTCTAAGTGCTTCAGAATTGATACCTTGAGGACCTGCCCCATGATTTTTCCAGGGACTGAGGTGAGGCTGACTGGCCTGTAGTTCCCCGGATCCTCCTTCTTCCCTTTTTTAAAGATGGGCAAAGAGATGCCAGATGCGCAGCAGCCAATTTGTAAACCTCAGTCTCTTCGGGCACTTGTAACTTTGTTTTTTCTCTTCAAAATACCACCAAACTGAATGGATTCCTTGATAGAGCAATCAAGAGCAAAATCACTCCCAGACTGACACCTGGTACACTAGAGTTGAAAGGAGATGGGGTTTTGACAGCAACACTGCAAACTCTGACAAAAAGATGTTAAAGGGAAATGCTGGTACTGCCTTTCACAGACCCTGAATAAAACCGGGTGACTGTATACATGCTGTCTCCCAACTCTCCTGGTAGGCAGCAAAAAATCAATGAAGGAAAAATTGGAGACTAGCATTGCTATTGGACAAAGTTAAGATTATTTGGGTGCATTAACAGTGCTTTTCCATATTTACAAATGTTGGGGCTCCTTTTAAGTTTAATCTTAACTCTGAATTTCCTGGGATTTTAATGCTTGTTATTATAACTAGAACATTTGTGTAAGTTACTTTTTACCTTTTAACTCCCTAATATGTGC